GCTCATAACTAGTTCTAGAAGTACCAATAGCAGAATGACTGCACAAAAGTGCCCATGGGCTCACATTTCTAATGACATCATCGTGACAGCAAGCAGAAAAAAAAAAAAATTAAAGTAAATCTTTCAACAATTACCATGGTTTCTCTCTTCCCCAGTTCCTTGGATAGGCAAGAAATGGATTCCCAGCTGTATGTGATAATGAAAGTGTTTTTTCTTTCTCCTTATGTTAAATACAAGCAAACTGATGAGATAGAAGATAGCGTGTGATTGCTAGGAAATCAGTGATTCAGATGCTGTGGCCATGGCACCTGGGGATGGGGGGAGGACGGAGGTGGAGGAAGCTGGTGCAGCCCGCCCATGCCAAGGACACCCAAGGGCGATGGATGGGCTGAGCTCTGAAGGAGGAAGGATTTGACATCACCGGGTCCAACCTCACAGTTTGGGTCCTGGAGGGTGAGAGACGCAGGAGTTGGCTGCGGACACAGCACTAGAACCCCAGGGGTTCTTCACTTTGCCTACCCATTTTCTCTCCCCTCTTCCACAATTCTCTCCCTTTTGTCTCTATTTTACAGTATTTATATTATACTTCAAGAAAAAGCTGTGTTGTTGTTGTTTTTTTTTAATAGCATTGAGGAAGTGGAAGGAAGATATTCAGTGCAGGTTTTTTTTTGTTGTTGTTGTTTTTTTTTCAGTGCAGGTTTTTAAAATGTAGGCAAGGAGGTCAGAATTTACACATAAAAGCAGGGTTTGAAGTAAGCCATTGGAATTAAGGAAGCCTTATAAAGAGAGGGGTCTATTTGAGGTTTCCTATAGGATTTGGGCTTTAAGCCAGGCCTTAAAGAAAAAAAGAAGTTTGGTGGGAGTAGAAGCTAAGCAATGACTTGGAGCAAAGCCCTGCAGCCCTACTCAGCACCCATACCCTTTCTTCTGAGAGACCGAACACATAAACGGACAATAGCTAGGCCACATGTGACAACAGAACTCTGACCCAAAGCCTGTGCAGTAACCAGCCTGGGATGCCAAGGAAACCAAACGATAACCTGTGCAGCAATCGGCCCAGAACAGTCAGAACTTGGTCAGTGACTGTCAGCATCTTCCAATCCCCCAACCACCACTCCCCCTTTTCCAACTCAGGACCGACCAGAGGAAGCCAAATATGTTCCGCAACCAATCCCATACGATGCCCGTCTACTAGTCAGCCCTGCTTGGTGTCTTCATGCCAACCACCTACAAGCACAGCACACCTGAATCCTTCCCTTCCAGACACCTGCCACATGCAAGTGATGGTGGCTGACTCCTCGAGCTCTGACTAAATGGCCTCTCTGTCCTCGTTTGGGTGATCTTCATTTATTTCCATATCTCCAACAAGGTGTCTAGATACAAACTGAACACCAGAATGACCCTTTCCAGCTCTATCCCTCCCAAAGTTAACCATTCACCTGATTTCTAACACCATAAATCAGTTGTGTCTATTTCTTGAACTCCTGGCCTCAAGTGGTCCTCCTGCCTTGGCCTCTGAAAGTGCTAGGATTACAAGCATGAGCCACCACACCCAGCCCAGTTGTGCTTATTTCTGAAGACGGTGAGTACTCTTGTATGTACTGACTTCTTCTGTTCAAGATCACGTCTGCAAGATTTATCCATGTTGTTGTGTGTGGCAATAGTTTCATTCATATTCACTGCTGTATGCTAATACTCTACCGTGTGACTTCACCACAACTCCTATTTCCATTCTGCTATGGATAGACATTTGTGTTGCTTCCAGTTTGGGGCTGCTGTGAACAGTGTGGTGGTTACAAACATTCTTGCCCATGTCTTGGAGATAAGCTCTTGTTCCTGTGGTGGGCACACCCAGGAGCGGAACTGCCGGGTCACACGTTATGCACACGATCAGCTTTAGTAGATACTGCGTTTCCAACAGGGTCAATTATCTTAGTCCATTTACGCTGCTATGACAAAATACCTTAGGCTGCATACTTTATACGCAACAAAAATTTATTCCTCACAGTTCTGGAAGCGGAGAAGGCCAAGATCAAAGTGCCAGCAGATTCAGTGTGAAGTGAGGGCTTGCTCTCAGCTTCAGAGATAGGATGCCTTCTCCCGTCATGTTCACATGGTAGAAGGGACAGAAGGGCTCCCTTGAGTGTCTTTTATAGGGCACTAATCCCACCCATGAGGGTGGAGCCCTCATGGCCTAATCACTTCCCCAAGGCCTCACCTCTTAATACTGTCACCTTGGAGGTAACGTTTCAATATATGAATTTTGGGGTGACACATATATTCAGATCCCAGCAGCAACTTACATTCCCTCCAAAACTTATGAGAGTTTCATATTATTGCCAACATTTGATCTTGTCAGACTTATGCCCTATAGGCTCTGTTATTGCCCCCTCCTGAATTTAGTCATTATAATTATTAACAGTACAGAACTAATCACAACAATCCTTGGCCCCTCCCCCCACGCTCTAGGAATACTCCATTAGACCACACATTCTTGAACTAGAGACAGTGGGTGGTAGGAGGGTGCTCATAGGGTGGGGTCTTTTCTGTATTGTTCTGTGTCACCAAGGCCTATCCCAATGCTCTGCACACAGTAGGTACAAAATAAATATCTGTTATGTGACCACATGAAAGAATGACATTAAAGCCTATTTGCACCACACAAGTGAAGGTCCCTGACCATTAAAGGCACCCATAGAGTCTTATTAATCTAAGGCCTTCAATCTGGCATAGGAATTCTTTTAATAAACAATTTCTGTGGCTGGGCACAGTGACTCACACATGTAGTCTTAGCATTTTGGGAGGCTGGGGCAGGAGGATCACTTGAGGCCAGGAGTTCAAGACCAGCCTGAGCAAGAGTGAGATTTCATCTCTACAAAAAATAGAAAAATTAGCTGGGTATGGTTGCACACACCTGTAGTCCCAGCTACTTGGGAGGCTGAGGTGGGAGGATCATTGGAACCCAGGAGTTTGAGGCTGCAGTGAGCTAGGATGATGCCACTGCACTCTAGCCTGGGAGACAGAGTAAGACCCTATATCAAGTAAAATAAAATAAAACAAACAATGCCTGCTAAACCAAACTAGCTTCCCAAGGCCTGGTTTTTAGGCTTGTGTTCTGAGCCCCATCTCACCCCACCTCAGGCCATCAAGCCTGGATAATGCTAATGCGATAATGATAATCATATTGTTACAACATCCCTGAGACTATATTAATTATATATTGGGTGTTATTATACTATTATAGCAGGTGACAGATCTTGGAATTCTGGGCAGGGATGTATTGATGTGAAAATCTCACTGTAAATCAGGTCCCTCGCTCCAGACGCCCCATCTGCTATGGTTCACGGGCATAAAGAGCATCCACCCCTGACACAGCAGGAGAAAGAAGGTGGAGAAGAGCTTATGTGCAGATACTCTCTCTGCAGGTGGGTCTGCCCCCATGCATTTAAGGAGGGCACTGATCCCTCTGGCCCCACCCAGACTTCACCCCAAGGTGAAGTGTGCTTTATCAACTCCCCAAGTGTGGGTGGCCAGGTCCCCCACCGGAGGTGTAGGTCCTCCCTTCCTTCTTTGGGCTCTGACCTCTACATGGCTGTGAGGGTGACTGCCTGGCTCTCCTTCCTACATGCACCCTCCTGCAGCTGAAAGCCACACTCCAACACCAGACCCTGGAGATCTGGCACTGGCCAATACACTGGCCAATTCCCACCTTGTTTGAAATCAACACTGGGGAGACCTTCAGGTTGACAACAGTTGCATGGGGTTGCTGGTCTGTGCAGACCAAGTAGGGGCTTCTGGCAGCAGCATCTGAAAATGCTGGAAAGGCCCCTGGACACTTCCTACACACCTTATCCAAGGTGTCTCCCACAATAACCAGTGACTGAGCTCGAAATCCCACTATTTGGGCTACACATTGCCTTCTAGAGATATTTTTTCCAGCTCCCCTGGGATGGGAACACATTAAAACTAGTACCTGTGCATGACTTGCTCACTGACCTGCCCTGCATGGGCACCTGGCTGGGGGTAGAGGGACACAGGGCTGGTTAAGAGCAACACAGCTGGGCACGGTGGCTCACACCTATAATCCTAGCACTCTGGGAGCCCAAGGTGGGAGGATTGCTTGAGCTCAGGAGTTCGAGACCAGCCTGAGCAAGAGCAAGACCCTGTCTGTCTCTACTAAAAAGAGAAAAATTAGCCGGGCATCGTGGCACAAGCCTGTAGTCCCAGCTGCTTGGGAGGCTGAGGCAGGAGGATCACTTGAGCCCAGGAGTTTGAAGTTGCAGTAAGCTACAATGATGTCACTGCACTCTATCTGGGGTGACAGAGCAAGACTCTGTCTCAAAAAAAAAAAAAAAAAAAGCAAGGGAAGGTGGATGGGGAACTTGTGTAGGGACCACCCTAGGGTTCAGGGTGCATGGTGCTATATTTGGAACATGGGCTGAAGAGCAGTACAGAGGTAGAGGCCATTAGGTCACTTAAGTCCCCAGGGCAGTGCAGAGGAAAGGCTGCAGCAGCCAAAGCAGGGTGTAGGACCCTGGAGGCCGACAGCTTGAGACTGGGCCACAGCAAGCCCCACCGCTGATGCCTCCAAGGGCTCCAGTTATTGTCCCTTGCAGAGCCCCAAACAGAAGTTCCTCCTGAGGCACCAGTGCCTGCCCCTTGCCCAGCAGTGGCTGCCTAAAAAGAGCCCCAAAGAATACTCTCAATCCACCCCAATGTGTCTCTGGTGTAGACATAGCTTGTCTCCCCACCAGTAGGCAAGCTTGGGGTGGGGGTGCGGAGAATGCCCCAGCCCCCATCCTGCACAGCTGCCCCAGCAGACACGCCTCCCTCCGCAACAAGTCCCCAACGCACAGGATAACATAAGGGGCAAATACAAAGCGGGGGGAGGCAGGAGGGTATGGGTCTGCCTCTAAAGGTGTAGCCAAGGGCTCTAGTCCCTCCCCATTTAATAGTGATAACAACATGTATGTAACCCTTAGTTAGCAATCACCCTAAGATTTACATAAACTCGTTTAATCTTCAAAACACTAGTGAGATACACACACACACACACACATATTCATCCCCATTTTACAGATGAGGAAAGTGAGGCACACAGCAGTTAATCCCTTGACCAAGGTCACAGAGCTGGTGAGAGGCAGAGCAGGGTGCAGGTCCACCACGCACTCTGCCTCTCATGCCTCCAGTTCTACCAGGGTGGGCAGGAAAGAGGCAAGAGGAGCATTTAGTTGTCACCCCCTCTGGGCCAGGCACTTGGCAAACACCTGTAGGCTCCAGTCTCAGAAGAACCCAGTGAAAGATGAGCCAGATACTTGCTGTCCATGCGGGGAAGCAAGACCAGAGAAGTCTGCCCACCACCAAGGCCACACAGCCCAGGGAGAGGTGGAGCTGAGATCCAAATCTCGGCCTCAGCTCTGCCCAACAGGCGTGCCCTCCCCAGCCCGGGTAGGGAGCTGAAGAGAACAGAGACCAAGCGGGAGAGAAAAAGGACGTGGGGTGAGGAGACTGGAGAGGGGCTCCAGGGTCTTCCTCAAGCCTGGCAGCTGCCTCTAGCTTCCCTGGAGTCCACAGGAACCTCCGGACCTCCCTGGAGTTGCCTGGCAGGGGAGGGGGACCAGCAGGCAGGAACCCAAAGCAGTTGGGTCCCTGGAGGCTGGCCACCCTGCCGCTCCTGCCTACCCCAGTGCAATGGCCTCAGGCTGGGTGCTGAGGGTGGAAGCAGGTTTCGCCGGGTCCCTCACCCTGCACAACTGCCCTCTGGCCTCCGGGGACCTGTGCAGTATAAGGGCCATTACCAACCGCCATGTGCACTCCAGCGGCACCTCCTTATCCAGTAGGGATGTGGCCTGGACAGAGGTACCTCCTCTAGAAGGCACAGGCAACAACCTGGATTGCCAGGCGGCTGAGGTCTGGAGTGCTGGGGCAGCCTACAGCCAAGAAAGCCAAATGGTAAAGGACCCACAGAGGGCAAGAGCAGGGATGGAAATGCCACCCCCAGGACTCAGTCTAGCCATGTCATGGCCACCTGCCTGGCTTCGGTCCCTTAGCTCCCTTCTGACCTAGCTCTGGCCAACCCCAAGAAAGGGACAGGGGCAGCCAGATAGCTCCACTCAGAGAGGGGCTGGGGTGTACCTCGGGGAACGGAGCAGATCTGTGACAGGAGGGCCCAGGGCTTCACTGGCGCAGGCGCCGCTGGTACAACATGGCCAGGAGCGTGATCACGAGTGCCCCGGCAGCGGCTGCCCGGAGCCATGGAGCCCAGGGCTCGTCCCAGATATACCACGTGGCCTCCACCTCCTGGAGCCCCGCCGTCTCCTCTTCCCGGAGCTGTGGGGCAGCATTTGGCCCGGGGTTGTTCTCCAGGAGGTCGGCGCCCGGGCCCTCCTCCACCCTGTGGATCTCAAAGGTGCCCACGGAGACATACTCGTTCTCCTCCGGGCCGTGGATGGCCTTCGCACCCAAGGAGTTGCTGGTACTGATGGCAAGGTCTTCGGAGCAGCCTGAGAACTGGCTGTCCATCCGGGACACCAGCACGCCGGGCTTGCTCAGCTCGGGCCCCAGGCTCTCGCTAGCAGAGCTGCCTCTAGTGGCGCCTGTGGGCGTTGCAGCCACTGGGGTTTCCTGGGAAAGAAAGGAGAGCGCCAGCAGAGGCGGGGGTAAAAGGGAGACAAGCCAACTTGGGTGACCCCGTTCCCAGGCCAGAGCATGCGCTAGCATCCCAACCCTCCATTCCCAGCCCATCATGCCCCTGAGGCCACCTTCTCTTGGGACACTGGGGAAGGAGGGGACCAAGACCCTGCAGTATCACAACGGTGGCCTCCTCCAGGGCAGCCCTCTCCCTACCCCCTGGCCTGCCTGTGAGCACACCTCCACCCAGAAGCCCTTGGAGGGGAGTGGCTCCATCCTATATCAACATTCTGCCTGGGCCTGAGAACCATGGAGCAGACACAGGGCAGAGGCCTGGCCATGCGCCCGAGGGCCCCATGCACTTGGGTTTAAGTGTGAGGGCTTGGAAGGGGAAAAATGGGGAGCTGCTGGGTCAGAGTGGCCGCTCCCGGCTGGATGGCTAGGACTGTGGTCCGTATAGCCAGGTTGTCAAGGGGCAGGCCGAGCATCCTGGTGATCAATAGCAAGGCACGAGGCAGACGGGCTACATGCTCTGCTCCTCACTGCTTCCTCCTCTGCAAAATGGCATTGCTACGCTCAACTGGGAGCCGCCAGCTCCAAATGAGCTAATGCATGTCACCAGTGGGGAGGTGGGTGGCCCCCATGCCTGACCCTTCTGAGGTGTCCACACTTGGGAGCTCTACGACTGCTCCTCATGGAGGACATGGTGTGGAGTCTGGATAAGGCTGGCTCTCAGCTATCCCTACACCCTCAGGGACAGGCCGTGGACAGGCCAGGCTGGAGACAGAATGGAGACTGGGAAGGGTCCAGAGACAGGGCCAGGAGGGCAAGGACTCACCTCAGCTCTGCTGTTCCTGCTGCTGGGGACTGTGCTGGCAGGCACCTTCGTGGGCGTTGAACTACCGGGCACTTTGGATGGCACTGTGCCAGCACGTGTTGGGTTGATGGGCAATTTGGACGGTGCTAGACTGGTGAGCACATTGGAAGGCACTGTACCCAAGGGCTTCGAGTTGGTGGGCAACTTGGAGGGCACCGTGTTCACAGGCATCAAGGTGGCAGGCACTTTGGAGGCCACTGTGCTGGTAGTCACAGAGGTAATGGGTGCCTCTGCTCCACTGCAGCAGGCAGTAGGCTCAGCCTGGTCACCAGCACCCCCTGCAGAAGCCAGGTTGGTGGATAAGGATGAGGAGGAGGAGGAAGAGGGTCCTGTAGACGGAGCTGACACTGCAGGCCCAGGCAAGCGGCTTGCCCTGGGGGTGGAACGGGCCAGGGGCTGGAAGGACACAGTTGGAGACACAGGCCCACGGGATGGCGTGAGGCTGGAGACTGTACCTGTGGGTGGCGAAACACAAGTGGAAGCACAAATCCAAAGGCCCATTACCCTTAGGGCTGGAGAAGGTCCCCCTGCCCCAGGTCACACTGCATCTACGTCTCCAAATCTCCTGCCCTTGGAAGAGACTTTACAGTCCCCACTGCTCCCAGGCCCTCAGTCCTCAACCCACAGCCCTAAGTCTGTCCTGTCACAGATGGAAATGGTCCCTCCCTCCAACAGCACCGAGGAGTTTGAAGGTCATTACTGAATATCCTCTCTGCTTTGCCTTCTCCCTCCTGGGACACCCCCCTTTCCTCCTGGGTCTGCCTTGTCTACCTTCCTCTTAGCCTGGAGGACTTCTGGATGCCCCCTTATTGCTGCCCCCACCTCCAGCAGGAGCCATCCTGGCTCAGGGTAAGGGGCAGCAGAGTGGCTCCTGCAGAACAGCTCACACCAGCTAAGTGACACCCAAGGCCTGGTCAGTCCCCAGAGGCCTGGGAGGGAGGGGGCAGAAACAAAGCCACCCCTGGCAGGAGGCCTGACCTAGGGGAAGCGGGAGGCAGCAGCTGGTGACAGCCCATACAGGTGGCTGCATCCGTATTCTCTATAGGACTCAGACCACACATGCCAGGCCCCACGGCTGACAGAGGCCGGGGGGCTGCTGATGAACTCCCCCAAGTCTAACACCACAGAATCTCACGGGACCTGTGTGTACCAACATCCTGAAATCTTAGTGCCCTTTGCCTCTATGGTGGCCGGCAGCAACTCTTCAATGGTGTTCCATGACAAGGTGACACTGCAAAGCACAAACAGGTGCTTGGGGAAGTTTGGGGGAGACAGAAGCACTAAGATGGCTTCTCCCAGCCTTTCACTGCTCATGTGCTTTGTGGCTGGCCTGGAGCACCAAGGGCTGGCCAGGCACCAGCGTCATATGGAAAAGTTTGGGAAGCAGCAGGGAGACATGCCAGCCTGGGAGGTTGGGGCACTGAGGTCTGGAGTGGGCCTAGGACTCTGGTTGGTTAAGACCTTACTTCCTCTGGGGACTGAGAAGTTTTAGTGATTCGTTGGGAACTGGAGACCCCTTTGAGGTAGGACATTGCCTAAGGGCTCCACTGCCAACAGCCAAGGCAGCCCTGCTCTGCCCCTCCCCCACTGTCCTCTAGGCCCTGGCTGACTCCTGCAGAGTCCGTTTGGCAGAGTGCAGGAATGGCCCTAATTCTCTTCCTGTGCCTATACCCTCTGCAATGTGCCTTTGCCAGTCCCCATGTCTAGTGATGGGGTCTATTTCCCCACTCCTTGGATCTGGGCTGGCCTTATAACTTGCTTTGGCCCAAAGAATGCAGCGGGGAGGGCAGAAGGGCCTTGTGCCAGTTTTTGAGCCCCTCTCCCCACCCCCAGAACTCTGCCCAGCTGCCATGAGACAGGTTTATGCACTGGAGGATGAAAGATGACCCAGCAGAGAACCAACGTGCCCAGCCAACAGCCAGAAGCAGAGCTTATGTACTGGTGAGTGTATACCGGAAAGTGTGTAAGAGGAAACTCAGCCAAGATTACAAGAATTGCCCAGCTTGGTCGGCCCAAGTGGCTGACCTACAGAATCATGTGCTAAGTAAGTGGTTGTATTTTAAGCTCCTAAAAAAAAATTGTTTTGGACTGCTTGTTACATAGCAAATGCCAACTGACTAATACACTCTCTAAGGAATTAGTTTAATTCCCTGGGGTGAACTCCCTTCATTCCCACCTTGCCTCCTGCTCAAGGAAGCCAGAGGGGCAACTCTAACCCTCACCCTTACCTGGGAGGTCAGAGAAGCCCTATGACTGCAGGTCCCATGCGTACCTGCTGTGTGGGTACTGCCCGGTTCTGTGTTCTGCTTGTGATGCCCGCTAGATATGCCAGGGCTGAGGGCTGCCAGGTCAGAGGAGGGCTCCAGAGGGGTAGCCGGCCTTCTTGGGATGGCTCCAGGGCTGGGTGTCTGCGGGGCTTGCTTTGAACTCTACATGAGGGAAAATATGAATAAGGTCCGGCGCGGTGGCTCACGCCTATAATCCTAGCACTCTGGGAGGCCGAGGCGGGGCGGATTGCTCAAGGTCAGGAGTTCGAAACCAGCCTGAGCAAGAGCGAGACCTCGTCTCTACTATAAATAAAAAAGAAATTAATTGGCCAACTAATATACATAGAAAAAATTAGCCGGGCATGGTGGTGCATGCCTGTAGTCCCAGCTACTCGGGAGGCTGAGGCAGGAGGATCACTTGAGCCCAGGAGTTTGAGGTTGCTGTGAGCTAGGCTGACGCCAGGGTAATCACTCTAGCCTAGGCAACAAAGTGAGACTCTGTCTCAAAAAAAAAAAAAGAAAATATGAATAAGACGGTTACTTCTCCCAAGAGCTGGTAGAGGGCTTATGCTCTTGGGGTATCTCCTACAGGCCTCAGCCCACATCACGGAGCACAAGAACCATGGGAGCCCTTGCCTCGGTTCTAGTAATTGCCAAATTGTCTGTCCACAGGAGACCTTGCATCTACCTCATAGAACACACACACCGTCCGTGGGGACTCTCTGTCTATCTGCCTGGCCCTGTAGAAAGGTCTGCCTCTCTGTGGCCACTGCACAGGCCCCTTTCTTAAGCTTCAGGTCCCCAGTGTCATCAGAAAGCTTTCCCCCAAACTTGACTTTATTGGCAATAATGACAGCTCCACTGTCCCCCCCTTGCCCCATGACTTCTTGCTCCCTCGCACCCCTCATCTGGTCACTCCCCAGGTTCCCCCACCCAACTCAACTGCAAGGACCTCGAGACTGTGGCCTCCCAGCTGCTTGGTGACAGAGGGTTGGGGGCTGTCACAGGTTGAAGACCTGGTCAGCAGCCTAGAAGCTGGTCTGGAGTAGATCCCCACTGAGGGAGCCCCGGGGTTCTGAGCAGAAGTAGGCAGACAGGAACACAAAAGCAGGCGGCTCAAGGTAGATTGCACGGACAGACCTCTCCCGGGGACTCCGGTGGCCGGGTGTCCTGGACAGGCATGGGGTAACTGGGCTCCATCTCTCTGTAGCCGTTGTAGGGGAGGCTGCGGGGCCCTGCAGGTGCAGCGGAGGGCACTGGAACCTCAGCAGGCAGTGACAGGGGCTCCAGCGGGGGTGGGGGGGGCCTCGAGGTCCCTGGAGGACAAACGTACAGTGATAACAAGAAGGAATCAGGGGTGTTCCCCATGACAGTAGAGGCTGGGTGCTCTTGGGCCCACCCCTACCTCCATGGCTCCAAAAGCTGTCTTGGGCCACAAGCATCGCTGGGAGGGGTGTGGGTGGGAGGAGAGGAGAGGTAGGGATGATGAGACGAGGCAGCAAGGGGACTGGGGTGCTTCTCAGCACCCAGACTGGGTCAGCATCACCCCTCCTCTGTCCCCAGGCATCCTGGGCCCCAGTGGCTTTCTCCTCTTCATGCTGTCACTACCAACTGGCCCCTGCCCTGACGCTGTCTCAGCCCCTCCCCTTTGCCCCACCGCCCACCCCAGCCCCACCATAGCCATCTGTATTCAGGGGGTCACTATTAATCTCCACAAATGAAGAGACATGTAAGGAGGGACTGAAGGGAGGGAGGAAGCAAGGGAGGGAGGGAAGGAGGGAGAGGAAGGGAAAGAATAAAAGAAAGAAGAGCAAACAGGGGGCCAGGCGTGGTGGCTCACGCCTGTAATCCTAGCACTCTGGGAGACCAGAGGTGGGAGAATTGCTCAAGGTCAGGAGTTCAAGACCAGCCTGAGCAAGAGTGAGACCCCCATCTCTATTAAAAATAGAAAGAGATTAATTGGCCAACTAAAAATATATAGAAAAAATTAGCCAGGCACGGTGGTACATGCCTGTAGTCCCAGCTACTCAGGAGGCTGAGGCTAAAGGATCACTTGAGCCCAGGAGTTTGAGGTTGCTGTGAGCTAGGCTGATGCCATGGCACTCTAGCCCAGGCAACAGAGTGAGACTCTTGTCTCAAAAAAAAAAAAAAAAAGCAGACAGGGATGTCCCAAAGCTGTAGATCTGACCAGGGTCTCAGGGATTACCTCTTCTTTGAAACATAAATAGGCTGGCTTGACTTTACTTTCTGTGTCTCCCTCTCGAACTCGATCTCACCAAACCCCCTCTGGCAAGGACACTGAGAGTGGGTCAGGGAGTGACTGGGCAGCTGGGGTGAGGGGCTAGAAGGCTCTGGGGAAACCAGGGGAGGGGAAGAAAAGGTGCAGGGGGTGGGGAGGTGAATGAATGAGGTTGGGAGAGGAGTTGGGGAAGGGTGGGAGGCATATGGAGGTGGCAAGCCCGGCTCAGCACTCAACATGCTCGTCCCACGGTACCTGTCTACCACAGCCCTAATGGTCAGTGCTGCCGTGAGCTCCACTTTACAGAGGAGAAGCCCGAGGCTCAAAGAAATTAAAGGACACAGCTGGTGAGGGGCTCAGCCAGGATCTATCCCCAGGTTTGTCCATTGCTCCAGGGTGACAGGAAGCAGAGTGACAGAGAAGAGGACAGGGAGAGGAAGGGAAAGAATACAGAGGTACAGGGGTGGGGGGAGAGGGAGAGTGGAAGCCGGGGAGGCAGGCAGGGGGTCAGGGAGCTCACGAGGCAGGTAGCTCTGGTAGACACAGGCCACTTCGTCAGCGAGACTAGCCAGCTCACAGGCCCTCAGCGCCCCAATGAAGAAATCCACCCAGTGGGTCCGCCGCTGCAGGCGGTTGAAGAGATCCCAGACGGTGTCCTGGTTCCCCCGCTGCGTGTAGAGGGCCCGAAGTCGATCCTGGAAGACACAGCGCCCCTGCCCTGCTCCAGCCAGGTAGCCTTGGCCCCTTCCCCACCCAGAAGAGAGCTACCAGAAGCAGGGGTGCCACGAGAAAGCCACAAGAAGGAGGCAGCTGTGTGAAGCTGGACAGGAGCCCAGGACAAAGCCAGGGATCGAGCCCAAGTATGGAGTGAGGAACACCCGTCAGCAACAACAACGGCAGCTGCCAGGAAACAGGCGTTCCTATGCCCAGGCCCTCCGCTAAGGGCTTTGCAAGAATCGTCTTACTAAATGCCATTATTATCCTACCTTACTAATGAGGAAACTTGAGGTTTAGCAGCAGCAAAGACTGTTTGCAAAGACCCTACAGCAGCGGGACAGGGATACAAACCCAGTTAATCTTATGCAAAAACCTTGGGTTTTACAGCCCCCCAAGGCAAAAAGAAAAGTTTGGATTAGGAGAGAAGGGAGAGGTACATAGCAAAAAATCAAATGAAAAGGAGCAAAAGAGGAAAGGAAGGTGCCGACAGTAAGGAACAAGGAGACTAAGAACGCCAGGGGTGTTCTGGGAAGATCACAGCAGGGGCAGAGTGTCCATATCTACCCCAATTCCCACACCAATCCCAGACAGCACCAAGGAAAACCCACAGGAAATATTTACTACAAAACTAGGTGACTTTCAAAAAAAAAAAAAAAAGATGAGTTTGAAGAATGTTTTCAAAAAAAAAAACTAGGTGATAAGTCCCCTCAAACCTCAAAATACAAGAGAGAGGGGCACACCCCACCAGCCACAGACTGAGCACTACCTTCTGCTGTGGGAGGAAGCAGGAGAAAGGTCCTGAAGACAGGAGACCCCCAAATGGCCAACAGGTACCCCTGGGAGCCCAAGGGTCCAGTTTGACACCAGCAGCTACGGCTGGGAGGAGTCTGGCCCCCTTCACTAGCTGGCGGGTCCCTGCAGCAGTCCTGTTGGGGCTACAGTGGTCTGGCTCCTGCGAACTCTCAGCACTGAGCCCTCAGAACAGGAGAATGGAATCACAACCGAGCAGGACAAGGACAAGAGAGATGAAGGGAAAGAGAAGTTTCCAAAACAGCCAGCACAGAGCCTGACAATCTCAGAAAGCCAGCACTGGGTTTTTGAGCACTGCACAAAAGCAACACAAGAGGGAGCTCTGTGAAGCTAGAAAAGCCACCTGCACCACACTTCATCTAAAAGTTAGACAAAGCAACAAGAAAAAGAAGACGCAGGATGAAGGAAGGGAAGGAGTTGGCTCTGGCGTGGGTGAGGAACTGGGATGGGGCTGAGCTTCGAATTCCACAGCCCCAGCCCCAGTCCAATGTCAGCTGTCACCTCCCTGGCTCACCTGGTCACTTGCCGTGAGGCAGGGCAGGTGAGGGAGGATCTCCAGAACATCGACACGGCAAAATTTGCTGTGATGATGGCAGATATATTTATAGGTCTTTTCCTCAGCAAACATCATCGCTGCTCAGATTCTGAAGAGAGGGGGGCCTGGCCCGGGGATGGGTGGATGGACTGAGACAGAGGAAACAAGACTGGAAGAAAACAGATCACACATGGCAACAGGACTGGGCGTGAGGCTGGACAAAAGGCAATTCTTCCTTTTGTTCAAACTGTTCAAATTTTTTTTTTTGCTCCGCCCCAGCTGCCCCACTCTGGGCAACTGTGGCCACCCGAGCGGGGTCAGCTTTATGAAATTTTAACTTTTTCTTTCTTTTTTTGAGACATGGCCTGGCTCTTTTGCTTGAGCTGCAGTGCAGCAGCATGATCATAGCTCACCACAACCTCAAACTCCTGGGCTCAGGTGATCCTCCTGCCTCAGCCTCCAGAGTAGCTGGGACTATGCATGCACGCCACCACACTAGGCTATAATTTTTCTTTCTTTTTTTTTTTTTTTTATAGAGATGCAGTTTCATTATTGCCCAGGCTGGTCTCGAAGTCCTGGCCTCAAGTGATCCTCCAGCCTCAGACTCCAAAAGTGCTAGGATCATAGGCGTGAGCCATTATGCCCAATCTATTTCATCTTTAATTTCCTTAAACATCCTATTTTGTTATTGCCTAGGTCCTAGAGGCTCTCAAAGAATTTGCTTAAAAATGAATGGATAAGCACCAGCTACTTGAAAGGCTGAGGTGGGAGGATCACTTGAGCACAGAAGTTCAAGGCCAGCCTGTGGAACGTAGAGAGACCCTGTCTCTGAAAAAAAAAAAAAAAAATTTTTTTTTTCATGAATTAATGACCAAACATAATCAGATCCAGAGTACTTAGGGCCCATTCCTGCCCTGCATGAGCCTCTTGCTTCTGTGCCTATGGGTGTACAGCTCCCCTACTGGCTCTAGGGCCCTTAAGCTGGCAAGAAGAGAGCTCTACCTAGAAGGGCTGCTTCTTTGGGGTATACTGAAAAAAGAAGCCCAATGCGATAATAATAGGATCATCCTACTTTAAAGATGAAGAAAATGAGGTACCAAGAAGTTAATGGGCTTGCCAGATAGTGGAAGTGCAAAGAACTGAGGTCTTCAGGATTAGGCTCTTTCCAGAACACAACTGCAGGCCATACAGATTCTCATGGTAGGAGACTGAGTTCCACTGTCTTGAATTCACTGCGTGTCCTGGGGCAAGTTAACAGTCTCTCCCAGGCTTTTTTTCCACCCTTAAAATGGCTCACAGAGTTTATTTTGATAGTACAGTAGTTTGGCCTCACAAGCTTAAAATTTTTAAAGTGCCTCAAATACGAGCAATTGATGTCGGCTGTTTATATAGCACTTACCACAGTCTGCAAGTACAGATGTGTTTGCTGGTTTCTTATTTGCCTCCCCCATCAGGGAGTGCTGCAGGGAATAAAAGAGACAAGGTCCATGCCATCATCCAATTTCTGTATTTATATTGGTGGGGGGGACAAATAACAGATCAGTAAACACATACCTAAATAAGAATTCCAGATAGTTCACAAAGGTTATGAAGAAAATAAAGCTGGGCTTGCTACTTAAACTGGGGTGGTCAAGGAAGCCTCTCTGGACTGGCGGCTCTGGAACTGAGCCTTTCTCAGTGGTGAGAAGATTGGTGTTTCCAGCAGAGGGCACAGCCAATACACAAGTCCTAAAATGGGAATGAGCTTGGCATGTTTGAAGAATAGAAAACAGGTCAGTGTGGTCAAGGTTTAGAAAGCGAAGAGGAGGAGCAGAGACCAAGATCAAAGAGGTTGGCAGGGGCCACTCACATAGGACTTTGGGTTTTATTTGGATTGAAACCAGGAACCAGTGGAAGGTTCTAACAGGCAAAGGAGAGGATCTGATTTACATTAAAGCCCTCTCTGGTGGTTGTGAGGACTGTGAAAGGGCCAGGATGAAAAAAGGGAGACACGCTTGGTACGGCCAGGCTGGTGACCACAGAGATGGCAGGAGGCAGTCGGATTCCCAGTGTTTTGAGGGTGTGGGAGGTGAGGGAGGGAGAATGGAGAATGACTCCTTGGAGACTGGGTGGAAGGAAACTGCCATTTACCAGGCCAGAGAAGCCAAGGGAGGAGCAATGACACAGAGGGAACTCCAGAGCTCAGTTTTGAACAAGTGAAGCTTGAGGTGCTATTGGGTTCCCAGAGGGTTGTCAGGGAGGGAAGGAGGCAGAGGAGAGAGGACCAGGTAGGGGTGAGACTTCTAGAAGACAGTGCTGCAGGGCCGAGAGCTAGGTGCTGCTGAGGCCACCAGACCCTTGTCACATGGGAAACTGTCCTTGGTCTCACAGCCTCACATGGCACAACTTTCCTTGCCAACCGCCAGGCGCTGCATTCCTGGTGGGGCAAGTGCTAATGACATAAGGTCAGGATGATCAAGGAGGTGAGGCAGGGGTCCTCTGAGCCTTCAGGAAACATGCAAAGAACAACTCTGTGGGCCAGGCGCTGTGGCTCACGCCTGTAATCTTAGCACTCTGGGAGGCCAAGGCAGGCGGATTGCTCGAGGTCAGGAGTTCAAAACCAACCTGAGCAAGAGTGAGACCCCATCTCTACTATAAATAGAAAGAAATTAATTGGCCAACTAATATATATATATATATAAAATTAGCCGGGCATGGTGGCGCATGCCTGTAGTCCCAGCTACTCAGGAGGCTGAGGCAGTAGGATTGCTTGAGCCCAGGAGTTTGAGGTTGCTGTGAATTAGGCTGACGCCATGGCACTCACTCTAGCCTGGGCAACAAAGTGAGACTCTGTCTCAAAAAACAAAACAAAAAACAACTCTGTGGAGCTGAACAGACCCTCTCCTCCTTCCCTTCTCATGGCACCCAGGAAGGTACCAGGAGGGAGTCAGGTGAGCCACTCTCTGTACTCCAGCCTCTCAGCCCTGAAGGCACAGATTTGTAGGAGGGATGAGGGGATGATGTGGCCCAACCAAAAGGAAAGAAAGCCCACATTTGTTCACATTTATTAAGGGCCCACTACAGGCAGGCACATTCTAAGGTTCTTTCACTTAATCCTTGTCACAATCACATGAGAAGGGAACTGATGCCAACTTGCCCAGCTGGCCAGGGAGGGACAGGATTTGAACCCAAGACTTGCGTGCTGCCTTACTGCAGCTGTCCAGAAACCCTGCAGGGCATAGAGGCCCCTGCAGCAAAGGAGACCCACACGGCCCCCAGCCTTCAAGTCCAGGGAGGCGTCAAGGTCACTGGCTGGGCGAGGGTGCAACTGGGAGGATGCAACATTTATTCCCTTCTCTTGGCAGAAATGGAAATCTTTCATACAGGCCTGAGGACATTAACCTGCCTTCACATGGCAGCCAGGGTCTCCAGGTCGCTGACTGTCCTTCCGGATCTTTTTGAGGCTTCATGGCATACAGAGAATGTCGTTTTGGTTTTAGTTGTATTGTTTTCCTGGCACCTCTTTCCCATCTCAGAGAAGGGGACGAGATGACAGAGTGTTCTCGACGCAGTGAAGTTTCTGACCCGACTGCCCCAGAGGCGCTGAGCACGTCCCGGAAAGAAATATCAACCCTCCCAGGAGGGACAGGCCTCACAGCCTCGGATCGGATTCCTTGGCGGGACCCAGGTCCGCGGAGGGTGGGGAGGTTCTCCTGAGCAGGTGTCACAGCCAAGAACTGTCAAGACCCAGGGGAGGGAGGCAGCATTCGACCCCGCGGTGCGACCGCCACAGGTCAGCGCACCTGGGCTCGGCCTCACCTAAGAGTCACCCTGGGCCTGCGGGCGGCGCTGCGCAGCGCGGGTGCCCGTCTCCTTCGGGCCCAACCTGCCCCGAGCAGACACTCCAGGCCACCCACCCCTCTCCCCGGGCGCTGGATGTGACGCGTGGAGCCCTCCGTGTTCCGAACCCCGCGCGCCCCGTCCCTTCCTGCCCCCGCCCCGGCGCCCCAATTCCGGTGCGCCCCGGCGGACTCTCAGTCCCACTCGGCCCCTGCCGCCGCAGCACACCTTCCCGCAGGCGTCCGTGTGTGCCAGGCCTGCAGGACCCAGCGCCTGGGCGGCGACCTTACCTCGGGTAGCCAAGGCCCAGCGACCTGCCACCACCGCGGCCGGCCGGAACCCTTCGCGCAGGGAGGGCGGGGCGGGACGGGGCCTGGATGGGGCGGGGGCCTGGACGGGGCGGGGCCTGGAGGGGCGGGGTCTGGAAGGGGCGGGGCCTGGGCCGCGCAGCCATTGGCCGGGCGGCGGGGCGGGGCTTCGTGGCCACGCGCGGGTGGCTGGTTTGCTGGGCGGACACTTGGCCTCGGTGTAAGGCCTGGACGCGCGGGGCTGGGCTTTGAGGACCGACCGAGTTTCCTGCTGGGGGCGCGGGTGAGCCGACTGTTTTCTTCCTTTCTTCGTCTGCGGCAACTTCCAGGGGAAGTCCAGTGTGCGACCAGAAGCCGGGCAGGCGGCCGGCCTTGGAGTCACTGGCTGGCTTGGATTGCCGTCCCCACGCTTCCCTCCTCCCGTTGGGGGCTCCGAGGGGTGAGGGTCTTCCTGGCGTTCTCTCCCGCGTCCCCAGGGCCTGGCACACAGTGCCCATGAAATGTAGGGTGACACGCAAAGTTTACGGAGGCGCAAATGTCCAGCAAAGCGACGGGCACGCTGGGCCCGTGGGATCAGGACCCGGCGGAGGCCTACCGGGGAGGCGGGTGTGAGGCAGGGATGCCAAAGGTGGCAAGTGGGGCGCTGGGCGTCGGATTTGAGTGCTGGTGAGAAAGCCCTTCCTTCCCCTCCAACCCCGCTCTCACTCCCAAGGGTCTGGGGCGGTACCTACCGCAGTGCCTGCCATCTACCTTGCCCTTGCCCTGCTGGGGCAGAGGCCTGCGATTATTGAGCACTCACTGTGTTCCAGGTATAAGGCTTTAAGCCTTATACCTTAGGGTCTATTAAGTACTCTCACCATAATCAGGTAGAGTAGGATTGTACATCCTGTTTTTTGTGTTTTTTTTTTTGTTATTTTTTGTTTTGAGACAGAGTCTCACTTTGTTGCCCAGGCTAGAGTGAGTGCTGTGGCGTCAGCCTAGCTCACAGCAACCTCAAACTCCTGGGCTCGGGCGATCCTTCTGCCTCAGCCTCCCGAGTAGCTGGAACTACAGGCATGCGCCACCCTGCCCGGCTAATTTTTTTTATATATATATCAGTTGGCCAATTAATTTCTTTCTATTTATAGTAGAGATGGGGTCTCACTCTTGCTCAGGCTGGTTTTGAACTCCTGACCTTGAGCAATCCGCCCGCCTCGGCCTCCCAGAGAGCTAGGATTACAGGCATGAGCCACCGCGCCTGGCCTGTACATTCTGTTTTAAAGAGAGTTTAAGAGATCTGGAAAAGTGTTTTGACAGTTCTTATTAAAGTTAAAGATATGCTAACCCTACTATCCAGCAATTCCACGCCTGGGTGTACATCTACCTAGGAGCATAGAGACTAGATCATGTTTGTAGTGACTTTATTCATAATAGGCAAATTTTGGAAACAACTCATCAGCAGGAGGATAGAGAGACAAATGGCGGTGTACTCACACTGGAATAGTATGCAGCAGTGAAAAAGAACAAATATTGGCGCACACACAAGATGAATAGATATTCCCACCAATGAATGGGCACCATGGCTATATGGTGCTCAGCAAATGGAGCCAAAAACAAAAGTGCATGCTGTCTGCTCCCAGTCACATATGGTTCTGAAACAGGCAAAACTAATCCACATGAATAGAAATCATATCACTGGTGACCTGGGGAAGGCTGACTGGGGGAGGGAAGAGAGGCACACTCTCTTTGGGTGTGGAAATGGTCTCCCCCCCCCTTTTCTTTTTAGAGACAGAGTCTCACTCTGTTGCCCAGGCTGGAGTGCAGTGGCACAATCATAGCTCACTGCAGCTTCCAACTCTTGGGTTCAAGTGATCCTCCCAGCTCAGCCTCCCAAGTAGCTTGGATTACAGGCATGAGCCACCATGCCTAGCCAAAAATGTTCTGTATCTTGATGTGAGTGGTGGGTTCATGAGCTTGACCATATGTAAAAATGCATCAACTGCACACTTAATGTTGTTATACTTTACTATATACTACAGTTTTTAAAAGGAAAGAAAAAGAGAAGTTAAGAGATTTGACAGAAATCACATGCAAATGCCTGAGTGCAGACCAGACTCCAAAACCAGTGCTCCCAAAATGAACCATAGCAAGATACCTGGACACTTTTCCAGTGAAGTTTTATTACTATATTTGATAGCCCTATGGATATTTCACAACCTTCAGCATTTATAAAGTGTGCTTAATCACACCTAAACTGTAATCAGGCCAGCTCCACCTAGGTTAGCCAAGGTGAGAGTGTTTAATGAGCCCTAAGGTATAATAAGGCTTTAAGCCCCAGTACCTGGAACACAGTGGTTGATCAACAACACAGGGGTAAACATGATAAGTTCAAAAGTCAATCCTGCCTGCTACCCACTCAACTCCAGTGGCCTCATATCTATTCTTGCAGGAAGAACATTGAGAGTGTGGAGACTGGCTTCCAAATGCAGTTGTGACCTCTGTCTTTGGGGACCTTGAAGGGCATTAAAATAATACAGCTATCTGGCCTAAGTGGTTTCCTGTTACCTGTCAACAGCTTTTAAAATTTTAGACAAAGAAGGACACAACACCAAGCCTATGGTATTCTTATCAAAAGCTCATAATTTGAAGCTAATCATAAGGAAACATTAAGCAAGCCCCAAATGAGGGATATTTGACAGCTGTCCTGTCCAATACAGTAGCTACTAGCCACGTGTAGCTATTTTAATTAAAATTAAATAAAATCTGAAAGTTCCTGAGCCCCATGAGACACATTTCAAATGCTATTTAAATGTGACTGTCATTAGTCATTAGCTAATACAGAGCATTTCTGTCATTGCAAAAAATTCTATTGGATGGCCCTAAACAAAAAAAAATAACTCTTCAAAAATATCATGGTCAGGAAAGACAAGGTAAGACTGAGGAACTGCTCCAAAGTAAAGGAAACCAAAGTGACATGACAAGTGAATGTAATGTGGGATCCCGGGTTGGATTCTGAAACAGAAAAAGGACATTAGGGGGACAAATGGTGAAATTAAATAAGGCTTTTTGATTAGTTAATATTCTATCAATGTTAGAGCAGGACAACATTATGAAAACTGAAATAAGCCAAACACAGAAGATAACTCTTGCATATTTTCACTTACATGTGTGAGCTAAATATTAAAACAATTGCTCTCATGGAGACAGAAAATAGAATGATGGTTACCAGAGGCTGGGAAGGGTAGTGGGAAGAGGCTGGGAAGAGGGTAGTGGGGATGGTTAATGGGTACAAAAATATAGTTAGATAGTTAGAATGAATAATATTTGATAACATAACACAGTGACTATACTGGACAAGTTATGGTATACTTTAAAATAATAGGCTGGGTGCGGTGGCTCACACCTGTAATCCTAGCACTCTGGGAGGCCGAGGCAGGCGGATTGCTCGAGCTCAGGAGTTCAAAACCAGCCTGAACAAGAGCG